GCATACGGTATGTCCCTCTTACTCCTAGTTCGATTATTAAGCCTGAGCGATGCAGTCCCTAGATGAATTATAGAATTAATTTCTGCAATTTCTGCTTACTGGGTTCACAAGATTAGTTGGAACATTGTATAATAACATGTTTAGTCTGTAAAACAGCAAGCTGGAGTTCATGCATTTTAGATAACCTAATATATCAAAAATGTTTTTATTTAACACAATTACATACCTTTGACACATGATTTGATGAACTCTCATTATTTGTAGGGAACTCTTTGATTTTATGCAAATTAATAATGTCATGAGATTTTGCGGATCTTGATAATCGACGTGTTGATAATAATCCCATATGATATTCTGTCTGCAAAGTAGACGTGTTACGTGATAGTGAGATTCATTAAACGCAACACGCAGCCGTTTGAGAATGACTTTTGCCTTAAAATATTGTTTGCTATCTGTTGCGAAACATACTGGAATATGGCTTTCTAGTATGGGCAGAGTGGGACAGAGAGTTTATTATTGATTCCATTGACAAAATTTTATATTGTTTCATTAAATTTGTATCATAGCGAAATTTCAACTCAATCATCATTTAGATTTATCGATGGAATTTCCATAAGCGATAAATATGCCTTATCGATAAAATAATGCACAAGCAATGTATTCCTGGTAAAACCGTAAACCACCAATGATAATGAAATCAACGGTTTACTAAACACCTATACGACTCACTAAATATGGCAGGTGCATTCGGTAAAACCAACATTATTTTACGCACTCAGGCTTTGGTAATTTTTTATCGTTTATGATATGGTGGTTTGTCGCTGATGTTTGAGTGCGAAAACTGTCATTATTTCGTCCGGTCCCCGTGAGTGAATCATTTTATTGTAATTAAATTTTACTGTTAAACCTGATATAATTGATTTGTTCTGATGGTTTAATGAAAAGAGAGTACTTAATATATAAATATGCCATATCGATGAAATAATGTGCAAGCAAACCGTGGTTACTTATCAAGATGTATTCCTGGTAAAACCGTAAACCACCAACGATAATGAAATCGATGGTTATTTTAAATGAGTTAAAAAAACCCCGAAGATCCATGGTGGATTGCTGAGCACTCCAATTTAATATCGATGCTCATTGAACGGAAGAGAAGTGAATAAATTCGTAAATTTAACGTTATTTTATTCAACCGATAATTTTTCGGTCAACTACTTTCGATTACAAAATGAATGCTTTAAAAGTCAGCGGAGTGTCGTCAATCAAAGATCTTGCAGTAATTCTTAACAGTGAGCTGAAATTTGCCAAGCATATAGCAGCAACTACCACCAAAGCCTACGTGATACTGGGATTCATTAAACGCAACACGCAGCCGTTTGAGGATGTCTATTGCCTTAAAATATTGCTTGTTCTCTGTTGCGAAACATACTGGAATATGGCGTTCTAGTATGGGCACTGCTTCATGTCAAGCTTTGCTTTCATATTGAACAGATTCAGTTAATTTTGTTAGATACGCTCTTCGACTGTTCTTTTACCCAGGAACAACCCTGTTGTCCATCCGCCGTACGAAGACTGCTGTGAACTGATTATTCTTTCCACATTGGCGGATAGGAGGATACTTCTGTACGATTTTGTAAATTCGATATTTTGAGCAACAATGTTGATTTTGCTAAACCTCTTGGACAACTTAATTTCAATGCTCCTATTAGACAGACGCGTCAAAATGATCTTCTCCACAGACCTCAACATCGTATACTCTACAGACAAAATATTCCACTTGATGTTTGCTGTCAACGTTTTAATGAAACACGTGACACCCAACAAACATTGCAAGCTGAATAAGAGCTTATAAAGGCAAAAATATGCTTCTGCAGCTAAAAAATAGCTTGTTCAGTTTTTAATCAGCTCATATTGTTTGTTGGGCAGTTATGATTTTAATATTCCGTAAATTGTTTTTGAAAAATAGGATTGACTGTACTTTAAGGAATTAAGCTGTCTGAAGAATTGATAAAAACACATATTTGATATAAGTTATGTCGGTTCCATTTTCGTAACACATAATACATAGTCCAAGAAAATCAAAACAACATATTATTTTCCTATCGATAAGTTGCCTTGAAGAAAATGTGCAAGATTTAATTTCCGATGCCTGCTAATATTTGATTACACACAAAAGCTCTTTTTTTTGCCTGGCTGACTACTGAAACCCGCAGCCAATCAACAATTTTGTTATCCTGTTGTATAGGTTTCGCAAAATGTAAACCTAATACACCTTTCAATGATCAACAATGAAAAGATACTGTGAGCAGAAGATTATTGAACACATATTCTGTGGTTTTTTTTTTTTAAATTCAAGTCAGTGACCACGACTAGCTTAGATCTTGAAGGGGACCTTGTGTTTTAGTGCAATAATACATCACACAGAAGCCTGTAAAATATTCGTGATCTAATCATAGAAAGATGCATGCAGCGTATAAGTACAGAAGACAGAGAGTGGGGCTGTATCCCGCTAACTTATTAAACCGAATGAACCTAAAAAATGTAAAACAGTACTTTTCGAAACCCGAGCGAATTTATTTTTTTAAGCAAAATTTCCACTCAATCATCATTTAGATTTGTCGATGGAATTTCCATAAGCGATAAATATGCCATATCGATGAAATAATGCACAAGCAATGTATTCCTGGTAAAACCGTAAACCACCAACGATAATGAAATCGACGGTTTACTAAACACCTTTACGACTCACTAAATATGGCAGGTGCATTCGGTAAAACCAACATTATTTTACGCACTCAGGCTTTGGTAAATTTTTATCGTTTATGATATGGTGGTTTGTCGCTGATGTTTGAGTGCGAAAACTGTCCGGTCCCCGTGAGTGAATCATTTTCTTGTAATTAAATTTAACTGTTAAACCTGATATAATTGATTTGTTCTGATGGTTTAATGAAAAGAGAGTACTTACTCACCCCAATGGGTATGGGTTCAGTACCAACCGAGGTCGATTGGATTTTGTACAACAAATCTCTGGTGACATCTTCCTTCAGAAGGGAAGTAAAGCCGTTGGTCCCAGTCAATGTATTAATGGGCTCGTTACAGGGTTGCCAGTCAATTGGATACATCCAACCGATGCGCAACCCAGCGACTTACACTCACAGTAGTGTGAGCGCGTTTCTTTTGAGCATGGTGCAATGTGCAGACGTAAGCTTACGAAAGTGGAGAAGCTCTGTTCATCATTTTATCTAGGAGCAGGGTTGATTCAACTCACGTCGCTGTATTTTTTTCTGAATTATGGAATCACTGGATGCTATAATGATATTTTGTTCTTGTAAGCGGGGTTGCTTTCCCTCATTTGCTTTAAAAAATGTTTTTCGGAATTATGAAATCATTAGATGATTGAAAATCTCCTTAAGACAACCAACCAACCAACCATTAGATGACATAATGAAATTTTGTACATGTAAGTAACAATAAGAAATTCTAATGACTCATAAAACCTGCACCCTTAGAAAAAATCATGTAAATTTAGGTGCTCTGAGATTGACATATACGAGCGTCAATTTTGACATAAATTTGAGTTATAATAGACGTGAAATATAGCCCAATCAAACGTACTTTTCGTCGAGCAACGAATGTTTCGGTCTCGGAACACTTAATATTATATGACTTGTTTGTTTACGTCTCATCTTTTATGTCAAAGACGGATTCCGTCACGCGTAAGATTAGTTATTTCTATGTGAGCGCCGAAAAAAATTTAAAAAAATTATTTTAGGAATTATGAAATCATTAGATGCTATATTATGTACTTTTAAGTTAGAAGAGGTTGTGAAGTATATGTTCGACACATAAAAGGAGCCAATCAAAATGTCATTTGTCCTTTATCGCGCAGAGGGTATAGATTTTGTGACAAGGGGAGGTAACAATAATGTGACGTCCAACGAGAAAAATATTAATTAATAACACTATTAACGAATAACGAATTACATAATCCTATTTGTGTAAAGAAATAATTTAACTTTAAATTTCCACAAACTTTGGAAAATTTTAATAGTAAGTTAATTTGTTTGGATAGGTGTGACATTCAAAAGAGGGGGGTGTATCATTTGTGACACCATAGACAACTCCAACCTCTCTAAGAAAAAGAGGTCATCTAATTTATTTTGAAGTAAAACGGACGTCAGAGAAGAAGAAAATTGCACTGCAAACAATATGTATGAAACCCAATACCTTACTTGTACCACTGAACGATGAGCGGGAAGCAGCCCTTGCTACATCTCTTCCTTTCTGCCACCTAAATATCATCGCATAAATGCGCAACCAGATTGACAAGCAAGATAGCAATCGCCTCACTGTACACACGCACCACAAATCACACAACAACCGTTCGGTTTCTCGTCCCTTGATCGAGAAGACCTCACGCAGAATCCGGCAAAAGTTCGTACAAACTTCTTTCATCCCTCTTCTGTTACCGATCGGCTTTTGTTGCCCGTCATTGTCATCGATATAGTTTATTTTCCCTTCTGACAGCATTCATGCATAACCTCAAAAAGTTAAACTGCTTTGCCGGCCTCGATGCCCCTGCTAAGCCAGCAAGGTTCCAAAAGGAAAAGAGATACGGATCAAAAGTGAAGGAGATGCGCTAAGCATCCCACGCAGATAATTGAATCTTGTTTCGTGGGGAAGCCCAAGAGAAGATACGAAAGAGAAGACACAGCCCTTCAAACTGGATGGTGATGGAAATAGGAAGGAACCATTGCGGCTAAAGGAGGGTGTAATAAATCAATAGATAGTAAAAATGTAAACCACAGCATGGCGCCGCGGTACCTTTTCAATACCTTTTCAAGCTATTTTTACTCTGTTTATCCTATTAATCTATTGTAAAGCATTGTGGGTATCTGCTTCGGTACGATTCAAAAATTCGGTTCATGTTTTATTGCAGTGTTATCCTCCATCTTCAAAGTTGGAATTCACTAACCTTTTTTTTGCTTTCATTCTTTCAGATTCATCCCAGACAAACCACGCGAGTGGATGTTTTACTGGAGACAGTTTAGTCCAAACGGCCTCCGGAGAGAAACGGAAACTCAGTGAGCTTCAAGTTGGCGAAAGCGTGCTCAGTGTCGATGGCTCCGGGAACACCGTATATAGCGAGGTGATAATGTTTATGGATCGCGATACTCATCAGAGCCGAGAATTTGTCCATATCGTAGCCGATGGCGGTGCACAGATAACTGTTACACCAGCGCACTTGGTGATGGTTTGGCAAAAAGACATTGGTGAATCACGTTACATGTTTGCCGATCGCGTTCAAGAAGGTGACTACATTTTAGTCAACATTGACAGCATTCTGGAACCTCGAAAGGTTCTACGAATATCAGCGAAACTATCGCAAGGGGTATACGCTCCATTAACTAGGGAAGGAACGGTCGTAGTAGACTCTATAGCTGCCTCTTGCTACGCTCTCATAAATAGCCAGAGGGTAGCACATCTAAGTTTTCTGCCGTATCGGGCAGCGCAAAAAATTATGAATCTATTCAAAACTAGTAGTCAAAGTCGTAGCTTAAGTCTGCCTCGGCATGAAGGCATCCACTGGTACGCCAAAACGTTGTACGCAATCAAAGACTACGTCATACCGACGGATTGGCTCTACCATTAACGATGGCTGAAAATTCATCTACATAAAAATAGTCGGTCAACCATTTGTATATAGTGTAAATTTCTGTTTTATCGTAAACAATTATAACTCCCGTTGTTTCCTGTAACTGAAACGAACATGCAGATGCGAGAGGGTATGTGAGATCTACTTAAATTATACTCGAATGAAAGTGGTTATATTGTGAGTGTGCATCCCCTTTCATCGTATTTGGAATCTATATCGTTTACACCAAAACATGTGAATTGGGACAGGTAAAGTAATTTTACTTGCTTAGCAACCTTCGGAATGTTTGAGAAACGCTCCTTGATATTGTTACACAAAAGCTTGACAAATACGCTGAGGAATTTTATGTTTGAGCCCGGAATAATGTTTAGCTTGGATAAGTAGGATCAATATTAAATAATTTATTTTTAACTATCTTGTATAAATATTCTATGTTCACAAATTTTAATGTGTCACCCAAAAATCTGAATGTTAATATTATTTTGAACAAATTTGGCCAGTGAGTTATCTGCTGTTTTATTCGAAGTACAAGACGCGTACAAGACAAGAGATATCTGTTCTAACAATGAAGCAGTACATTTTGATGTAGTATTTATTAAGTAGTATTACGAAGAAAAGTGATATCTAATTATAATGTATAGTATTAATATAAAGAAAATTAATTTATGAACAATCTGTAACTCAAAGCACTCGTGTAAAAATAACTCTAGAGCTTATATGCCAACGAAACCCTATATGCGACCCTTGTAAACATTTCATCTCAGCATGAAACATTTCAACAAATAAGTCAAGCTTTCAGGATTGATTTGCCGACTCATGTACCGACAGCTGAACGAAAGCTTTTTGAAAACCATTCATGTAGTTGAGACACAAACGCATCACGCGAACGAACGCTTCAAATTTGTATACAAGGTGAAAACGGCTAAAGCGAACACACAGCTGAAACGCAACACATCTGTTTGTAAAAATTCTGAGCCAAGTAGTAAACGGAATTGCTGCAGAAAATAATCTGGCATGCTCGATGCATTGCACAGTATCTTTGTAAATATAGTAAATTGGTAAAACAAACTGCGGGCAAAAATGTAGAAAGTTTTAATAAACAATGTTGTTATTCAAAGCAATGAAAATTGATCGTTGAATATCTATGCAGAAAGTATGAGAAATATACCAATATACTATACATCTACATCATAATAAAAATATCATATCATCATAAATATACACCAATATAAATATCTTTTCAATCGTGCACTAGGGTAGCGGATTTGTATTTCGTCAGTTCCATTAGTTGTCTTCCTCTTACTCAACAGGCATCGAAAAAAAATATATTTATATCGTTTTTGATTATTGACCTTTACTTTAAATATTGTTATTGATTATAAAGTGGAGCAAAAGTTCTACCTTAGTTGAACAAATTTAAATAGCTCAAAACTGCAAGCATTCGGAATCAATTCTATACACAGGATCGATAACTCAAGCTGTATAATTTTCTCTCACAAAACCTTTACAGTAAATTCGTTTTTAGAACGATTCCCAAATGTTGCAAATGTGCAAATGTTCACAAAATTTTTGGGAGGTTTTTGCATTGATCTTTAAATGCACCATGTTGATACAGATTTGTTTATATGTTTTTTTCTGTTATTTCTACTAACCATTATGGACTCATCGAAATTTTACTCCCATTAATAATATTTCCAATTCAGATAAAAGCATTTCGCATCGGATTATTTGCTTTAATAACATACTGCGGTTGTCAGTTATCAGTCAAAATCATTCAAAAGTCGATTGTAAACTAAACTAACAGAAACTAAAGTAAAAGATAACTACAAAGCATTACATACAGCGTCACCACAACAGTTACTTAAAAATAACAGTATCTAAAGCGAATAATATACCGCGCGAATTATAACTTTTTTTTTTTTAGATAAGCAGGTTTCCATGTACTTATTTTTGATTGCAAAATTCTCTGTAATTTACGCGAACAGGTCACGAGGATGCCATAAGAGCTTTAGTCTCCCATTTATTGCTAAACATACAACTTTATAAAAAAAATATAATCCAAGGAACCGAAATCCTTCCATTTCGGAACTAACTTCATCAAACTTCTGCACCGAAGCACCGAGACATCCAGAAACCATCTCTTGCACAACTTTTTGAGTTACACATGGATCAATATTTGTTATCAACAACGAAAACTCCCTATTCTCAGCAAAGCGCTCTTGAATTTTTTCAGTCTGCAGCGAATGGTTCAAAGAACAATACTCGATGTTTACATTTGTACAAACCTTAAGTTCGTACCGTCTAATAACCAGGTCCGGATATACGGGTGGCCCCGAGGGAGGAGCATGTCCCTGGGCTGCCACAAATTTATAGAAATTGTCATTTCAAAATTAGATCCATGTCTCATTAACATATTGCCGACAACAGTTAGACATATGCCACAATGTTACTTATTTCCAATGAAAATTGAATTTGAAATTGATCGCAAATATCTCGCGACCAGAGCATTTTACCGAGAAATCCCTCTAATAAATTCTCGGTACATATTTTAACACCCGATTGAGCAAAAAACAAATGGCTAACTACAGTCAACTCTCCATATCTCGATGCTCTATATCTCTACAAAGCTGAACTAACTAGTCGACAAAAGTGACTCGGGGGAACTATTATAAAGCCTCTACTCAGCGATCTTGTTGTAGAAAGGTCATGTAGATTTGTTTACGTCAGATCAAAGTGTTGGCGTAGCGAAGTTGGTAGTGTCAAGGTTTGCCAATGCGATCGTCTTGAGTTCGCGTCCAGTTTTCGATGCAGGGTAATAATTTGGTGGTGTGCTTATAAATAATTTCGAGTAATATGATTCGATTCACAGCTAAATAAAATCAATAAATTCCCCCATCAAAAAACCGTAAACAATATTTAACCGGCTTCAAGATCAAGCTGTGCAGTGATTATTGGATAATCGGGAAAAAGTTGAATAAACGCCTTTCAAGTTCACAAACAATTAAACAGCAGAATAACAGCCGTATAGAAGCGTAAATGTATATGCAATAAGAGCTTGTTAAAACCGTCCCAACAGCCATAAGTTCGCCAGATTTGTTTGTATAGAGGTTGAGGAAAGGTTACCGCATATCGTGTAACATTTGAATACAGTTTGAGGCTGTATTTGAATACAGCTTGAGGCTGTATAAATGAAATGAACAATGCGTTTAAATTGAGGAAATTGTAAGTTGGGGTCTGTCTTATGCAGAATGTATACATTTTGTATACAGGCATTCCTTCTCAAGTGCATACAAAGTTCTGGACAATGTCACCGATTTCAACCAAACTTTGCCAAAATGTTATTTCAAGTCCTAAGAAAATTTATTTTTCGATTTTGCTCTAAAGTCCTTGAATCTCGCTGGATTTTTGAGATGTTGAGAAATTATATCTTTAAATAGAGATTACTCCACAACCAGACAATTCCTTGTGTTACTAACCCATTTTTGTTTTACCCCGTATCGTGGGTAGATCACCGTTTCGTGGTACACTAAGGGATGTAAGATCTACCACCGATTCCTAGACCTGACTACTTCAAAGAAGGGGAACATGATTTTTCAGTAATCAAAGGAACACATGTTTGTCCTTGTTATATTGTTGATAGTGACAAGACTCGATTTTATCCACCGAGGATGACCTTGAAACAAGGAAAAATTAGTTTGTTAGTCTTCATCTATGTGATTCCTGTCTTTTGGAGGCGAACCAGCCGAAGGCTGAAAGCCTCCTTAATAAAGCTAAATAATAATAAAGGGTGATACGGTCAAAATTTGGTCAATATCAACTTGACGTATTTCTTTCAATTTTGCATTTAAAAAACCTGAACACCCCTCATTTTGAAGGTGTGTGTGTGTAGAATGTTGCTCCTATTTTGATTTTGGAATTCACTCTTCAGTTGTCAAAATGCCGTCCAAGCAAGAAGAGCAGCGTATCATAATTTTGCTCGCGCATCGCGAAAATCCGAGCTACTCGCACGCAAAGTTGGCAAAATCGCTAAAAGTTGCCAAATCAACCGTTACAAATGTAATTAAAGTGTTTGGGGAACGTTTGTCGACAGCCAGGAAGTCTGGATCGGGGGGAAATCGAAAACCGGAAGCCGCTGAGACGACAAAGAGAGTTGCCGGTAGTTTCAAGCGAAACCCTAACCTCTCTCTCCGAGATGCCGCAAATAAGCTGGGTGTATCGTCTACAACCGTGCATCGAGCCAAAAAACGAGCCGGACTATCGACTTACAAGAAGGTAGTGACTCCAAATCGCGATGATAAACAAAATACGACGGCCAAAGCGCGATCCCGGAGGCTGTACACGACGATGCTGACGAAGTTTGACTGCGTGGTAATGGACGACGAAACCTACGTCAAAGCCGACTACAAGCAGCTTCCGGGACAGGAGTTTTATACGGCAAAAGGAAGGGGAAAGGTAGCAGATGTTTTTAAGCACATGAAACTGTCAAAGTTCGCAAAGAAATATCTGGTTTGGCAAGCCATCTGTACCTGTGGCTTGAAAAGCAACATTTTCATAGCTTCCGGGACTGTCAACCAAGAAATTTACGTGAAAGAGTGTTTGAATAAACGTCTGCTGCCTTTCCTGAAGAAACACGGTTGTTCCGTACTGTTTTGGCCGGATTTGGCATCTTGCCATTACGGTAAAAAGGCCATGGAGTGGTACGCCGCCAACAACGTGCAGGTGGTTCCCAAGGACAAGAACCCTCCCAACACGCCAGAGCTCCGCCCAATTGAGAAATACTGGGCTATTGTCAAGCGGAACCTAAAGAAGACCAAAAAAACTGCTAAGGGCGAGCAGCAGTTCAAGGCAAACTGGCTTTCTGCGGCGAAGAAGGTGGACAAGGTGGCTGTACAAAATCTGATGGCAGGGGTCAAGCGTAAGGCCCGGCAATTCGGATTTGGAAAAGTGGAAGCCTAACTGAATATTTTTCCTGAATTTTAAACTAATTGAACTTGAAAAAGAAATTTAATTTGATTTTTTAAATAAACGATTTCACCGATTTACACGCGTTTTCCCTTGACCAAATTTTGACCGTATCACCCTTTAATATATGATTCACTTATATTCGATGTCCCC